AGGAAATTAGGAAAATAATAGAGTAATTCATAGTACATCAAGAAAAATGAAATACTTAGTAATTAACCTAACCAAAGAAATGAAATACCTCTGTAATGAAAATTGCAGTACTTTGAAAAAGATAAATAAATAGAACATCAGAAAATGAGAATTTCTTCTGTTATTAAATAGGCAGAACCAATACTGTTAAAATGACCATGTTAAAAAAACTCATATATCTATTTAAGGGAATCCCAATCAAAATACTAACAGTATCCCTCACAGAACTTGGCAAAACTAACCTAAAATTTGTATGGAACCAGAAGAGACTCAGAATAGCAAAAGCTATCCTGGATGATAAAAATAAACCAGAAGCCATCACAATCTTGGATTTCAAGTTTATTACAAAGCTCAGCCTGGTCTACAAAGTGAGTTCAAGGCCAGCCTAAACTACATAGTGAGCCATGTCTTAGAAAAAGTGGACAACTGAAGTGAATAGACATTTCTCAAAAAAACTACAAATGACCAGTAAATACATGAACAAAAATGTTCAGCATCTCTGAAAATTAGAATAATGCAAATTAAAACAACATTAAGAATCAATCTTATTCCAAAAAGAGTGACTATCATCAATAAGTTAAACTAACAATTTCTGACAAGGTTGTGGGGAGAAAGGTATGCTTCTATATTGTTGATGAGAATGTAAACTGATACAAGCACTAGGGAAATCAGTATGGAGATTTTCAAAATACTAAAACTAAAAATTCCATCCCACCCAGGTATTCCTCTTTTAGGTATCTTCCTGAAAGTGTTAAAGACATCATATTACTAAGATACTTACATGTCCATGTTTATATCCATGTTTACAGCAACTCGTAAGAGTTAAATCTTGGAAGTGGCCTATATGTCCATCATCATAGGAATGGATAAAGAAAATGTGGTATTATTAAACAATGGAGTGCTGCTTTGGCATAAAGAAAGATAGATTAGAGTAATTTGTAGGAAAATGGATGCACCTTAAGACCATAATGTTAAGTGAAATAAATCAAACACACAAACTTAAATTTCACATGGCTTCCTTATTTAAGAAACCTAAAATATCCATGAAGTAAAGAGCAAAATAAAGAGCAAAATAAAAGATAATAGAAAATAGGTAGATAGATTTTTTTCAAAAGAGAAGGGGAGATAGATATAGAGGAAGAAAATATAGAAATATAGAGGGAGAAAATATAGAGGAAGAAAAATATAGAGGAGGAAAAAAGAGAGGATAGGGAAGAGGATTAAAAAGAATTAAGGTCTGTTAAGTACATGTATCTACTCATTACATAAAAGTAAATATTATGTATTGGAAACATGTACTAATACAAAATAATTATCAAAAAGTAGAGATACAATTTAAGATGGGATACATCATGATATCCAAATCTACCCCATCTCAATATTGAGCTGGTCTCTACTAGCTATTGAGCTTCCTTGGTCTTCTATGTAATGAATTGACATTCTGTTCTATCTACCTCCTATCTTCTAACTTCCTGACCAAAACACAGTTATCAGCAGTCAAAATGTTGTCCTGTCTACCATCCCATCCTTTTGTGACTACAGACTGAAGCCACCTTATTACAAGGTTGTGTTTTTGGTTGGTGAATGGGGTAAATGCGGTGGTTAACCTTGTACTTGAAGTAACATATCAGTGAGTTTCTTTTCAAAAATTATCTTCCCCAGAAAGTATCTGATTTTATATATAAAACTATATATACTACCTATTATCTGGCATTACTATTCCCTATCCCTTTATGACAAGAGTGTGGAAAGTTATGTGATTGAAATAATTGAGTTCAATCAGGTTTGTATCATTCAATTCCAATTAGATTGTCATGCTGCTCTATAAATCTCTTCACTTCTCTTTAGCTTTTGAATTCTTAATAGTAGTTGTCCAAAACTATTTTGGAGACAAGATCTGAAGTCAGACAGAATCTGACTTCACTCTCATTACATGACTTTCTCTTCTATTTTAATATTACCAAGACTATACATGACTTTCTCTTCTATTTTAATATTACACCAAGACTATCATCTAATGTTAACTGTTTCTGCTGTGCTTAAAATGTCCTCATATTTTGTACATTTTCTAGTTTTCTCTCTCAGAGGAAAAATCACTCATTCATACTTCTTAGATTATTGTCGGTGTAGTGACAGTATAGCAAGTCATCTCTCTATTAGATGGCTATTATGGTTCCTCCAAATCTACCCGAAACTGTGAGGAGAATGAATCATCAAAGGTGATCTTAGGTTCCTGGTCTTTTTGTTATGTTCTCACATCTAGTTTCTGCTTTCCTAATTGTTTCATATGCTTCCTATTCTGACAAAACTGTCCATGTTAATATAATATTATTTGAATTCTTACAATTATCAAATGGTTAGCAATTGATTTCTAAAATATAACATTTTCATGTTTGAGATCATTAAGCACAAAGACTGGTAAGAGTAGTATTTGGGGATATGTTATATTTTCAGCAATTTTTGAAGCATATTATTTGCTAAACTCTTTGTTTTTTACTCTAGATATTCTGGATGACAAAGGTATTCATTTATTCCCTGTCTTTAGAGAGCCAAGTGTTTGGAAAGCCATTCCAAAGATAATTAAAACTGTATTTATACGTACATTCACATTTTTTTTTTGCAAAGAAGTTCCTAAACATAAGACATATTTTTGATGGGAGCTGAGAACTCTCACAATGTTGAAAACCTTTAATTTATTTTTTATTAACTTTAAGACAGTTTTGAATAAAATAAGCATACATATATACAATAAAATTTAGTGAGAAGTTTTAATAGTAGTTATTATTTTCTTAGAGAGACTGTACATACTGATTGATATATGTTGTATGATAATGTCTCTAAACATTATAACTTCCCACATCTAGAAGCAGTTATTTGCTATTAATGAATCCTCACCAATCTGAAATTCTCAAAACCTTCATGAGTTATTGTTCTTTTCAAATTGAATTGTTATTTACTCAAGTTCTTTTAATAGGGCAAGAAACGAATCTTGCAAGCTAGCATTTAATGTTAAAAAATTCCCCAAAGTGGTTTACAATCTTAATATTGTTAATTTTAAAAAAATCATGTGGAGATTATAACTTTAGGTTTTCAAGACTATATTTAAAAATATGTATTTGAGCTCTAAAACAATATTCACTTTTAAAGTGGAGTGCAAATTTGAACTAAACATCTGACATGCCTAACTCATGAATTTTAATATAAATAATTCCATAATATTGCCCAAGGTATGAGATACAATGGTAAAATTGCAGAATAGCCGACATTGTTAATTTTAACAAAATTAACTTCATGCTTTGGTGAGTGTTTTATGTTTATTTTTATATTTGCCCCAAGGTATTTCTAGTTGAAACAAATCGCCTCATTTGTAGTAAAAAAGGATGGACTCTAGGCATCACCTGCTAGTCCTATTGGTGGAGTTTGGTAGTGTGATTAAAAAAAAACATTAGATGCTCCCTTGGGCATGTTTTGAATTTCTGTTTTTCATTTTTACAATACGCGTAACATAAGCATGTTGGTTATAAAAAACACCTCTGAACTTATCTTAATTTTACTATGTAGAAATTATTTTTACATCAGATATCTCAAACACTTATTTGACCAAAGATGGTATTTTTGAAGTTTAAATCATTCTTGTGCATATAAATTAAAATTATTCACAAGAAGCACTTATGTAACACCAAGGCCTCCTTTGCCTTGCTGGATTAATTGCCCCTAAGTGCAATTTTATCCTAGTTAAAATAAATTCAGGCCAGTTTCTCCATAGTAATAACTTGGGGAGGGTATAGAAATTTACATTCCTCAAAAAAATAATTAATCATTTCTAGAGTTGTTTCTGTAAAGGATGTTAAAGTCCAATGGCTATTATGTGTTGTATTTAACCAATTAAAAGGTCCATTTTCATTACTGCATGAAGCTGTAACAGTATTACCACTCCAATGGTCAAGCAAAGGCTAAGTAATTGAGCAGTCATCTACCATTACTTCATCCAAATGTCATATTACTTTTTTTCCAGTAAAGAGTGTCAATATAAGAAAGGAAGAAAAAGAGAAAGGGAGGGAGGCAGAGGAGAAGGGAAAAAAGAGGGAGAGAAACAAGAGCCCATCCAAGTGGATGTGATAGTTCCTGAACTTACATTTTGTTCCACCATAACTAGATAACTACCTGTTTATCTACTTGAGTGTGATTCATTTCTGCATTTTTCAGAGTACTATGGATCAAGATGAAGTCTTGATCGTTTTATAAACCTTCATGGAAACAGGTTCATTATACAATATATATTTTTGTATTAGGAGAAATAACTTTCTAACTTTTCATTTGTTTTGATTTCAATTTATTACAAGAAACCATTGCCTGGAAATAGAGCCATTGTGTTTCTCTGCTGTAAATCACTGTGCCTAACAGCCTTAATATGTTAAATTTATTTGACTTATTGGTAGAGCCCACCAAACAAGCTCTATATAAGAAAGCATAATTCTTAGTAGACAGAAGATCCATTCATTATTTCTACCATAATTACAGTAAAAATATTATTGATAAATCAAACCAAAATAATTACTTTTTGAAAAGGAAAGAATATTTGTAGCTTCCTAATGTCATGGAAATGCTGTGTGTAAAATCTGCCTGCTCACTTTCAAATTCACTGGGGCAGCCCAAAAATATCAAATGCAACTTTCCACATCATTTCCTCCATGAAACTTCATTTCTACGATCAACAGTGGTGAAATTACAGGCCTTCAAACAGAACATATGGAACAAAAATCATTTCATCAGAATGAGGATGTAACATCCACTCCTTGCCCCCACTTCAACAAAAAAAGCTAAGTTTTTATAGCTTTGAAGACTATCCACAGGAGGTAAATTTTCCCTCATAGCAACACCCTACCAAAAGTGTGTGCTAAGAAAGCATGTAAATTACCAGATAGCTGCACATGATTCATAATTCTCAAACTTTTTTCCAGTTCTCAGAATATGTACAACATTATTTGAGAAAATAACTGTTGAGAATACAGTTGCTAAAGCCAGAAGTTGAAAATAGAGAAGGTAATGTTGAACATCTTGTTCAAATAACTTAAACTCATTGAAACCTCATTAATATATTGTAGGGTGTTCTATTTGAAGGTAATATGATGGTCTAATGTCATTGTTAGCTGTGGGCCTGAGGTACATGGGAGGACCGAGATGCAAAGAGCTTTACTGCATTGTACATGTGAAGAATCTTTTGTCTGGGGGAAATGGTTGTTTTGGCTTATTCTCATTCTTGAAAATGCCCAAGGCTTTTGTTAAATGCGAATGACCTCATTTCTGACTACTATGTGCCAGATCAGTCTGTCTGCTGTTGTTATTTCCCAAAAGTGAACAGTTACTCCACATTGTTTCAAATTGTGTTTCAGAATTCTTAAAGATTTTCTTCAGACTGCTGTGCTTATAGCCATTGTAGGGCACTCTTGGAGCAAAACATTTTCACAAGCTTACAAAATGTAATAGGAAAAATACAAAACTCACTTAATTTGCTACACACACAAACTGGGAACATTTGCTTAAAAATGCCCCTAAAGAATGTTGCTGAATATTTACATCAAGAAAAATCTCTTTAATTACAAAATAGCAAAACCATTTCAACATGAAAATAACACCCTAGGTTAGCAGCGATTTGAATAATCTGCTAAAGAGATCTAACATTCTTACCAAAATAGATAAAAATACCACCACGACAAAAATGCCAGTCTACATTATAAAATAAAATAGAGACAATTCTTATGGGCTTAGATTCTGGAAATTATATATGATGCACTTTAGGAGAAACAATGTAAAAGCAGAATACAGACTTTTAGTTTACAAATTATAGAAAGAAGAAGTGTAATTGAGTGGGCCTTCATATTTCATATATGTAGGAATACTTTTGAACTAATCAAATTACTTAGCTTCTAATTTTAAAAAACAGACAAAATTATCTCTAAGATGTTTTATGATATTTTATTACTGTGATTTCAAGTTCTTTGAGAGATAAGCAGAAAATTAATATATGAAAATAATATATTATGGTATTTAGTACTTTAAATAATATATCCATGACTTGATGATTTTTTCTTTAATAATTATGTTAAAATATTATATGCATCATCTTTGAGATAAGTTCAGAGATGGTTTTAAAATCTACACACGTTACATAGCCATGATATGAAATTAAAATTATGCTGTTCACCCCCATCCACTTAGTTACTAAAAGCACATCTCTTTCTCTAACAGGAAAGCTCACTAATATGAGCTTACTTTATATCCCTCATTGCAAAATCTTACTATAGTGGACCCTATGCCTGTTACTATGTTCCTGAATAAAGGCTTTCATTAACAAATGTATTTGAATTTTTTTCAGCATTAACTGAGAAAGCCAGTGTCAGAAAGAGAACCATGTATACATATACTACTGGGAAGCCATTTAGATGAATAGCTAAATCATTTGCTGATATTAATGAGAAATTACATTTTTCATTGTGCACAGGAAGAAATCACTATGTTAGATATTAGATATACCCCAAAGTCAAGAAGATAGAATAATTACTTATAATACTGGCCTAATGTAGTATTCTAACAAGTACTTTTCTCTAACTTCAATCTTAATCAAATTGCTTTGTAAATTCAAGTTTTCACATATTGAAACAATGAATATATAGCTTTTATAATTATAGAGATACTACAAGACACTATTATGTTGTTCTTCAAATGTATAAATTGACTGACATATAAGCTTAATAGTCAACTTGATTGGTTTGGGAGTCACCTACAAGATTCATAAACACACTTCTGGGTGTGTTAGGTAGGTCATGGAGTCATGAACTGGTGGTCTTTTATCTGGTCCCTGGAACCTTTATATTTTCTCTGTTCTGCTTCCTTTGTATTATGAACGAAGCACCTTTGTGCCACAAAACCTTTGATCATGAGGTTCTTGACTTGGAGCCAGCCAAACATGGACTGAATTTTCTGAAGCCATGATGCAAATTAAACTTTTCCTCTAAGTTATGGCTGTTGGGTTTGTATCCCAACTAAGGAAAGCTCACTTATATAGAAAACTGGTACCAGAGACGTGGGGTTCATAGCTGGGCCTGTACTTGACTTATGATTCACTAGCTTTGGGAAATTGTTTGGGGGAGGAGTTTGGAAAAGTTTGGAGAATTAGACTGGAGAAAGCCTAAAAAGGCAGTCAGTAGTCTGATGGGCAATTCTGGTCAGAGCTCACAATACCAGAATGTTGATAGGAATGCACACAGTGAAGGCCAGGCCTAGTAGGTTTCCATCAGAAATAAAGACTTCAGTGGAGGCGTGAACAGTGGCAAATGGACTAGAGGTCATTTATGTTATACTCTGGCCAAAAAAAATTGTCTAGATTTTGCCCATGTTTTAAGACTTTCCAGGAGATTTAGATTAAGGATAATATACTAATTGACTTAATGAAGGAAATTTAAAGGCAGCTCAACATTCAGGCAGCAGTATAAGTACTGCTGGGTGATTTTAGCAAGACTTATACTAAGAATTGGGTGCAAAATGAAGAGCAGAAAAATTTGGAAAATCTTAAATTTTGACCTGAAAGGAACCATATGTTAAGTTAATGTCAAAGGAAGGGTAGTTTCTAAAGATATCAGTACCATTACAGAGAAACCAATATTTTGTACAGAAATAAGAAGAAAAATGTCTTGGGAGCATCTCAGCAATCAGCAAGACCCCACCCATCACAGGATCAAGGATGCACAAATGTCATACTTTTATTTGAGAAGAGTCCTTGGGACCCTTGCTTGAGAGGGCCTTCTGGGAAGTTTGTTCCCCAAGACTTGTTTCACTGTGCCCAGCCATTCACACACTTAGAAGTTGCTGCAGCTATAGTCCAGGGGGCCTGAATACCACTTAAACTGGTGGCAGACCTTGGTGTTTTTCATGTGATGATGGTTGTCCAGGCATACAGAATGCAAACATTATAGAGTCATGGAGGCTGCAATAAGTGGAGACCTCAAGAAATCAGGAATGTAGAAAGTCTGTTGAGGAGAGCTCCAGCTAAGTGAATGAAGGCAGGCCAAGGGAGGGGCCATGTGGGATGCAAACAGCAAGGTCATAGGGGTGTAACTACCCAAGCCCTCTGGAACTTATGTCTAACTGTTGCTGCATATCCCAGATGCTGAACCTAAAGCTACAGGACTTAATGTTTGTCCTGTTTGATTTTGGTTTTGCTTTGGGTCTGGTTGTTTTCTATCTTCCTAATCTTCCTTTTTGGCATATTTACTATCTACCATTGTACCTTGAGGTTATGCAATTTGTTTTCATTTTTATAGTGGTTCATAGCTGAGCTTGTCTTGAGTCTCATAAGAAACTTAAACTTGGACTTTTTGAGAAATGCAGACTATTGAGACCCTGGGTAATAGATGTTTGCATTTTCAGTTGTATTCAAAATAGTTGTGTCATGTTACGTGGAATTATTAACTCATTATTTAACTTCTTTCTTTGGATGCTAATGAAATTTAAGGAGATGTGTTTAGGTGTCAAGTTGACAAGGGGTAGGATATGATGGTTAAGTTTAATTGTCAAATTGATTGGCTTGGGAGTCACCTAGGGAATTAGTAAAGTGCACCTCTGAATATGTTTGGGTGGGTCATGGAGGCATATATTTGGCATCTCTATCTGGTTTCAGGAACCTTTCTTCTGTGACACTTTTCTCCTCTTCTTCTTCTCAACTGCCATGAACTAAGCAACTTTTCTCTTCTAGGTAACTTCCATCATGTTCTTGATGCCTTGGCACCAGTTAAGCATGGACTGAATCTTCTGAAACAGAGTCAAGTTAAGCCTTTCCTTCTGAAGTTGTGGATCCTGAGTATTATATACGAGCAATGGTCATGCTAAGTGATAGATTTACCACATTTCAATACTGAGCTCTCAGGAATGCTATTTGGTTCTTTATACATAAAAACTTTCATACAGTTATACACATTTTATATTTACATTAGATAGTAATCAATTCATGAGAATGCTTAAAACCTTTTATTGCATTGCAGTTAAAAGACTGATTGCTGTAAACTGCAAGTGTCAACTTAAGTCATTTCTTTGACCTCTCTGAGTCTCAGTTACTCATACATAAAGAAAAACAATAGGGTCTCTTTTTTAGAGTTGTGGTGAAGACTAAATATAAACTTCTGAAAATGGTGGGTGACATTGTTAATGCAGCATCTAATCGCAAGGTAATATCTTAGGAAAATTACATATTTATTCAATGTGTATTTGAATAAATATTGGAAAAATTGCAATACAATGTTCAGTGTAAATTATTTCATATGCTTTATATCAGTTTACTGAATCATTAGAAAAAAAATTTAACTCTTCTTTTAAATTCCTTTTTTTCTCCTCTGGTTTGTAGTTTCTTCAATTAATAGGGTGGCTTCTTATATTGGTAAGAGATTGTCCTACAATTAGATATGTACTTGTTTAGCCATTAGATGTTTGTTAAATATTAAATATTAAAATCAGATATTTGTTTTCAATTAAATTTGTTTAATGTGTCAGATGTCTAAAATGTTGTTATTTAGTACATGTACTAAGGGTGAGAATAAGATTTGTTTTTCAAAGTTTATGAATTTATATTTGTGATATGGAGACTCTGGGATGTAAATTAGGGTAATATCCCATGTAGATGGTAAGTGAAGAAGCCATTCTACAGAAAAAAGAATAGGAAAGCTGATGGTTGGGAACACAGATAATATAGTACTATCTTATGAGGGAGAGAAAGCTGCCTAAGGGATCTCATTTCCTTAAAGCTCAATTATGTTGCATATAATACAATCATATATATGTATAGAGACATATATATATCTAAAGCCATATATGACAGGCTGGGACCTCATTTCTTGTGGCAACTAGCATATTTGCTCTCTTGAAAAATGACTGCTTGTTGATGAAACACAGATGGAAGAGAAGCATATGGTCTGTAATTGTTATGGAGGAAACAATATAGGCCAACACATAATAGTAAGGAAAAAGCAGATTGACTTTGGGGAAATAAAGTAGAGAGCATGGTATGTCCAAAAAAGTGACTACACAGGGTGCATGAATAAACATGGTTTCCCCACCAAGGAGTTTGAATTATATTCTGTGATTATAACCCTGAAGTATTTTATCTAGGGGAGTATCTGTTCCAGGGAATTAAGACAGGCAACTGAAGATTTTTATTTATCTATTCACTAGGTTAGATTGAAGGTGAAATATAATCTGGAAAATCTGTAGCTATTCTATTTATTAACAGAAATTCTTCTGAAGGAATGATAGAGTAGCATATTTGTACATCAATGCTCACATATATTATGCTTTTTTCCTGTTATAGGATTGCGAAGAAGGGATTGGACCAATGTCTTTATTTTGAATTTATTTTCATTTCAGAGATTTAGAAATATACAGAAGAAGTAGTCTAGTATAGTAATTGTAGAATAATCCTGGGCTAATTATTAGAAACTGGACTCAGCGTAGTAGTACAATTCATTTCTGGCTTTATTCTGAGAGAAAAAAAAATCCTGCTATTAAACAAATGGACTTGAGAATTACAGGTGGGTGATTAGAAATAAAGTAACATTATTTGTTGGAAAAAGCCAAACTTAAAAAGAAATATCTTCATTTAGAAATGAGTAGAGACATGTGAAATGAGTATATGAATAGAGTAGAGGTTTTGGTTTGGTTGTGTTTGTTTTGTAGTATGAGGTTTTATCAACAACATTTGTGAGGCCACTTGAAGACAGGCTTTGTGACGGAAAAGGTTTATCTCAGTCCATATGTGAACAGAGACTGAAATCAAGGGTAGATTTCAGATTTCAGCTGTTAACTGGGAAGAGCAGAATTTATTATATCCATGTGTGGGTAGGGAGAGAGAGAGAGAGGGAGAGAGAGAGAGAGAGAGAGGGAGAGAGAGTGAGGGAGAGAGGGAGAGGGAGAGAGGGAGAGGGAATTAGGGTTATATAGGTATTGAAGGGCCTAAGGAATCTGGGGTAAAATGTTTATGACTGAGGGTCCAAGGATGGTCAGCACAGGTGTTCAGACAATCACTGAACTTCTCAGAGTGGAGAGGTTGTATTCTCTGTCCTAAATTTTCTTATGGCCATCTGTCCTGTTTACTGAGAATAGCCTGTTGTTTGCTGAGAGCAGGCTTATTCCTTGTGAAGTTCTCATTCAGGCCAGGCATTACACCAGGGCTTTGCATCTCTAGGCAAGCACTCTACCAATGAGCTTTGTTCTCATCCCCACGAAGACAATTTAATGGAGTCAAAACAAAATCTCAAGGGTGAAAAGACTGCTGTTTTCTAGGGAAAATTGAAGAGATCTTTGCCTAAAGATTTATTAGTAGTATCTTCAATCTCAATAAGAAAAAGGGGCCAGGAATTTAGCTCAGTGGTTCCACCGCCTGCATCGCAAGCGCAAGGAGCCAAGTTTGACCCCTGGTACCAAAAAAAAAAAAAAAAGAATAAGAAGAAGATTCCACTGACTGTCAAACAGAAAAATAACAATAACAAAACCTTGATTACTTAAAATTAATTACATAGTAATAATTATTTTGTACAACCTGAAATTTCAGAAGACAATGGAATAATAAACAACTAAAAATTTTTAAGAGGAAAACAATTTTGAAACAAAATATTAGCACCTGTGCATGTTGATGTTTACCTATAAATTTTGCAATGAAGACTTTCTTAAAACATAATAGCTTGCTGGATAATAGGTAATGGCAATAGAATAAGTGTTTCAAATACTTCTACTAAATAACCTAGAAAAATATATATGAATTGGCAAACATGAACTTCATAATGCTAAAGTGCAACTCAAAAGCAGTGAAGTAGTAACATGAATGACAAATCTAACTTTAGTCCCACTTGAATGGATAAGACAAAATAGGATTATTTTTGATTTCTTAAAAATATGGTAGTGATTATTTAGTTTCAAGTTACAATTACCCTCACACAGAGAAAAAGAAATGAGTAGGAGGTAGAAGAGTCAAAAATATTTTTCCCTCCCGCATAGGGGAAAAGGAAGTGAAAATATTTCTGTTTGGTTCGCATTCATATTAGAAGTAGTCTTATATAGGTTTTAGAAAAACTTACTTAACAAATACCACTGGGGTTGAAAGAAGTATTCACTTTTAAGTCATTGCAGAGACTAAAATAAATAATAGGTCAGTACATATAATGAAAGACAAAAATTAAATTAAAAAATGAGATGTTTGATAAAACAAAAGAATAAAAAAATCAGAAAACAGAAATATAACTAAGAATATTAGTTGTTGCTCTAAATTTTCATGATATAAAATGCCCTTCTGAAATAGAAATATACTCAGATTGTGTTACCAAAAAAAGTAAATGTAAATTCAATTGTTCACTGTCTATAATGAAAAAAACTTAATGCACAATTACAATGAAGGTTTTAGAATATTGGAAAACTTTATTAGACAAATAAGGTGAAAGGCAAGCAGTATATGCATTAGTGATAGAACTTAAAAGAATAAATAAATAATATACTGATAACATATTTATAGTGGTACAATGTCCACCCATAATAAGGCATTAATAAGGTATTAATGAGTCTCATTAAAATGTATACGTCTTGAGAGTAGAGATTATTACTAAGGCTAGACATAGTGGTGTTTCAAAAGAGCTTGTTATATATATAATGAACCAAAGGGAAATAAGAGTTAGTAATAATCACATTTTAAATATGTGACTGGTATTATGAAAAGTGCTTTATATTCATTAAGTCCTTTCAATATACTTCATAATGAAGACAAAATATGATAAAAGCCATTGAAAATTTAAGGTAAATTGGTAAACATAATTACTGGAAGAGTTATCAACAAGCTATTCATTGAAATACTATCAAATACGTAAGGTATAAAGAATAAACAGATCAACATAATTTATAAAACTAAATAATATATGCCATATTTATGCACCTCAATTTACATATTTTGAACAAGGTTGAGTAATGATCAAATGTATATATGGAATGTATAGTGCTTTCATTCACTGAAATAGCAAATGTAAGGTTATGATGAATTTTTAATTTCTTCAGACATTTAGATATTGACTTTTTTCTGACATGTATAGTGAAGGCTAAAGATGAAATTTGAAACAATTTAAAATCACCCAAATAATCCAATATTAACTAAATTTGAATTGCAACTCCAGTTTATCTGGAGAGAAAATTTTATTGTATTACCACCAATCAAAGTTTGCCAATATATTACAGATATGACTGAAGACATGCATCCCAATGGATAGGTGGAAAAGGGATGATTCTCAAAGGAAGAGACATCATAAGCTGAACACATATTTTTAAAGATGCTTGTTATAGATATTACAAACTCCTTTAGAATATTCAGTGGTGTTACCCCTCAACCCCGACACTTTCTCCTTTATCCTGTTTGGTTTTCCTGCAACAAATGACAATTTTTCTTACTTTAATTCTTGGGACAGTTCATAGTAATTATTCTGTACTTCTTGAAGAGAATAAATACTCATCACAGGAAATTTTGGAGAACTTTTATGATGGTAGAGATTGGACAAACAGGATCATCCATGGGGAAATATCTGAAAAGTGACCCAAATCTGTTTGGCATATTATATTGCTATTCTCATTCTTTGTTTCTTCAATTCTCAATATTTTCTCCTCTCCCCAGAGTGTTAATTTAGTAACAAGTCCCAGTGTCATTTCTAAACTGACATGGTTGTAGTTAGAAACATTATTATCAGATATTGAAAATACAAGTGAAGACCGTGGATATTCTGTTTCTCTGTTTTTAAAGTATTCTGTGTATAGAGTTGAAGGAAGGATTAAAAAAACATATTTACATTATTTATATCTATCTCTATATATTTATATCTATATCTACATCATTATTCTAGGTTTACAGTGTCTATCATAATCTAGTCATTCCCAGATCAGAATTTGGCTTTTTGTGTTAGAGAAGAATTTTTAGGAGTCAGTAACAGTCTTCAGTATTTTTTGTTAAAAATTCCATAGATAACTTAATAGAATTGATTTCAAAAACTGGTCCTCATTATGGCCCTTACAAATTTCTTGTCCTTTGTTTATAAGTCAGGCGTAACTGAGCATAAGTCTTTTGGCTGTTTGTAATTTATAAATAATTCTATGAATTATGCTGCTAATTTTTTAAAAACAGAATGTTTGCATATCATTTTTGATCTAATATAGTACATCCGATCCCGTTTAAAGTTTAGCATTAATTTCTAATGGTTAGCTTTTATAGAATTTAACTTTTGACAATAGTAAGATATCCTAAACTTGCTCACCCTCAGGGTATGTAAGAATGAGCTTCTGCATTCCTGGTAGCAAATTGCAGATCAGCATTTTTAATGCTGCCTAAGATCCTTTGTGTGTGTGTTTTTTAAAATTACCAACATAGATCAAGTTTATGTTAATTGTATGAA